GAAAGTGTGAAAAATCAAACATGGGGATTTGTTAGATTCGAACACAGGACCTCTAGATTAGAATAAATAGACCTGGCCAGTCAGGACAACGAATTTGATTGAGACCATCAGCGAACAGAAAATATATATACATATAATATGCAACCGTATATGTTATACAAAATTTAATTAATCACATTTTAAATAAAAAATATAAATAGTAATAATATTTAATTAACTATATACACGATTTTATTATCTATATCTCTGACACATTTTTAATTAATTATATTATCTCCTTCAATAATTTTATTTCTCAATCCTCTCATACATATGTTCATCATCAAATATGATTATGTTAATTAAGTAAGCTCACACTAATTTAATTATAATAATCTCTCTCATATATTTAATTATGTTATCTCTTTCAATTATAATATCCTTCTCTCTCTCTCTCCCACACACACACACTCTATCCTTCACTACTTTCCCCATCACTCAAACTTGCTTACTTTCTCATGCATGTCTCCATCTCATTTCTCTCCCATGCACAATGTTTTTCTATTCCATCTCTCAAATATTTGGATATAGTATATGCCTTTTATACAAACTCCAAACTTTCTTCCTCTCCCTTTCTCTCTCAAACACCACATTATCTTCCTTTTAGTCTCTCTCTAACACAAAAATACATAAAACAACATTAATTATCAAAGTTACTTAATTACACAAATAAAAGATTATAATATAAAATTTTTACAAAAAAATTTTAAAAAAAATGTGCAAAAACTTTCAGCGGCGACTTTGAAAGGAGATTCAACGGCGACTTTTGTCGCCGCTGAAAGCATGCTTCAGTGGCGAGACGATGTGTCGCCGCTGAAAAGAGATTCAGCGGCGACAAAGTGTCACCGCTGAAAGTCGCTTCAGTGGCGATATAAATTGTCGCCATTGGAAGAAGATTCACATTCAGCGGCGACTCTGATGTCGCCGCTGAAAGTTGCAGTTACAGTGGTGACAATGAAAAGTCGCCGCCGTAACTATCACTTTTGGCGGTGACATTTTTATCGCCGCAAAAGGACCTGACTTTCAGCGGCGACACTTCTTGTGGCCGCTAAAAGTCATATTTTCAGCGGCGACTTCTTTTGTCGCCGCTGAAAGTCGTCACTGAAAGTTTAATTTTTTGTAGTGAGGGTTCGTCGGAGTGTGGTGGTGGGTCCATCCACCAGCGGCCAGCTGCTTCTGGGGCCTAATCATGTTCTTTGTGGCACTTTTGATTGGAGTGGATGTGAGACAAACGGACACCAGGAAGAGGATAAACAGAAGTCGATAGCGACGGTGGCACAACTCTAAAGGTAGTGGGAAATAGGTCGTGCATTAGAGGCCCTGAAAGCTTCTTTGGCTGCGAAACTCAGGGATCTGGCCATGTTGCATGTTGTTTATATTCCATTTGATCCTTATTAAAAGAGCTTTGGGTATATTTCATGATATAACATATTTTATTTAAAGTATTAATTCTTTTACCTAATACGACATCCGGTCCTAATTATAAAACCACTTGTTTGTAGTACAAACGGGGTCTTATAATTAGGATTAGAAGTAGTATCCTTAACTAATTATAAAATTAACTAATTAACCAAGCCGTTCTAACTAATGACTTTTATTGAGACCAATTTAGTATTCATACATTTAAATTTTGATTCTTGATTCTTTTAAATAATTACCATTTTTAAAATTCTTCTCAATAAATACCATTCTTTCTAAATCCTTTTGAGTTTAATTTTTTTCAGTTCAAAGGCGTTGACTAAATTAGTTTGGTTTCTCAAATTTAAAATCAGTCAAATTTGATGAATTATTTGACTTCAATAAACTAAAGTTATTTGTGATATGTGGCAGATCCCAGATTAAGAAAAATAATCAACTTACTAAAAATTTTATATCAAGGGCAGCTAGCGTTCACAATTAATTTAATAATAAAAAAGTTGAGATATATTTTCCTAAAACAAAATAACCATACTGTCCAAAATTCAACCTACGTAGGTGTTTCTATTTTTTTTCCTCATTATTTAGTACTCATCAAATCATATAAAACTTTTGAACACTGTGCATAACAATTAACTATATTGCAAAATTCTTCAACTTCGTGATCCCATCTTCAATTTTCACACATGTTTGGATCCTTCTTATCTTCGTCTTCAATCATGAAGCACCAATTTCCAATTTTGAATCTCCATGTATTTGTGCACGGAACATTTTTACATAATGCTCTCTCACTGCTATCACAAGACTAGCACGAACATTATTTGATTTCAAATAGCGACCAAGTTCTGCAACATTGTTTCTACTTTGATTCTTTAAAAATCTAAAGTATTCCAAAACCTCCTTAAATTCTTGTGTCCTTAAAATTTTTGTTGGGTCACTACTAATCAGAACAATCATGGCAAAAGCGTACATCTTGTATGTCCTTCTTGAGCAACCATGCGTACGTACCATATCCACACCCTTCTCATAAAGCTCCAAGTCACTGAAGTATACTTCCATGCCTTATCTGTGTAAAGATTCTAAATTGGCGCATGATCTACAACAACGTAAGAATGATGCTTCTTGTGGATTTCTTGAAATTGAGAGAAAGGGACTTTCTCCAAAGAAGCATGCTTGTATACATAGTTGTCATAGGTGATGTTCATCATCTCTCTGGAAGTCAGTTTAAAGTGGCAAAGATCAGTGAGTGATTGGGATGTAACTTTTGATTGAATGTCCACCAATATTTCTACTGGCAACCAATAAGTTATGTTCTCAGGACTTTTCTTACAAGCAGTGGTTTTAATCCTTTTTAACGGTCGGGATCAGCCATGGTCGTTGAAATTGCAATCAAGCTACACTATATATGTTGTACTGATCATATAGAATAGTAGGAATGGGGTTAATATTTGATTAATTTTTCTTTAAAAAAATATCAATTACGACACCAAGTTAAAAAACAATTGACGTCTTTGTGTCAATTCTTTTTAACTGATGTCGTAATTCCTATTTTTTGCCATTGTTATTTTTACTACACCTCGTATACACAGCATACACATACTAAGATGTATATAATATAAGCATATGGAGTTATCTAAGAGATGAACACATATGCTACTGAGCACCCTATGCCCTCAAATATGGTTCCAGGAATCTCTCCCCAGAATCCCCATCTCAGAAAACTACTCCAACCATGTAATTCAAATTGTGTAGGTAGTACCTCTTGTACTTAGTATAAGACTCATTTGATTAACTTGGAGAGATTAATAAAATTACTAAATTACTTAGTTATAGCATATATTACGTGGATCTCTTTAAAAATATTTGGGAAACATTGCACTAAGTTCCCCCATAAGACAAAATACCACAATAAGGTCCCTAAAAACCTAATAATTGCCCTGAAATCCCCAAAGGACTTGACTGTAATAATAAAAAAGTTGAAATACCTTGTTGTTCCTAGTAACTTAGACGAAAAAAAGGCTGCAAAAATAACATTGTCAATGTAGGCCATGATAGTTATTAATTTTGCTGCTTCACTTATCAATTTATCCGTTGATATAAGTTTGAAAAAAAAATTTGATTTCGAGTTGCATAATGACAAGTAATATTAACATATCCTGTGGACTAATACTTTTTAATAATTATGTAATATCATCATTAAAAGTCAATTAACACTCGTATGAAATTATGAAAGCACTTGTTATTAACTAACTCTTCACTATTTCACAAGTGATAATTGGTTTTTAATTACGATATTATAGCACATTATTATAAAAAGGTATTAGTTCACAGGGTATGTCAATATTACTTGTCACTATGCAACTTGAAATTAGATTTTTTTAAAACTTATATTAGCAGATAAATTGACAAGTGAAATAGTAATATTGACAACTATTACAGCCTATATTGATAATTTTCTCTTTTAAGTGTTTTTTTTTTGTCTAAGTTACTAGTGACAACAAGGTCTTTTTCAACTTCTCTATTATTGCAGCTAAGTCTCTTTGGGATTTCAGAGTAATTATTAGATTTTCAAGGATCTTTTCATAGTATTTGGTCTTCTATGGGACCTCAGTGTAATTTTTCTAAATATTTATGTGAATCATTAAATTGTATATTAATTTATAAGTGAAGCAAATTAGTTTTTATAAAAATGATAAATATAAATTTTCTAAAGTAATTAAGTAACTTTTTTAGTATCCTAAGTTAGTATTTAGTCTCATGTTAAGGACTGGGGGTAATAAATCACAAGTTATAGCACTAATTTTTTGCTTATTCATATTTGAACCCGAGGTCAATAGACTTATTGGACTAATCATATTCAGTCCAATAGTAAGAGGATAATCAAAGGTCATCATCTCCTTACTTTTTCATTGTATAACAGAGCCAATATTGTTGAAAAAATACAGATTTTTGTATTTTAATTTTATAATAAATGATAAAGATGTAATCAATTATTTAGAAGTAATTATATTCATAAACGCACTATAGTATTTTAAATAATAAATAATTATAATACAATGAATCATACACAGATACATATATATATATATATATATTCTGCTTCTAGGTTTATTGTGAGAGAATGAGAGAATTTAGTATCTATACATTTATATTTATATTTTGATTTTCAATCCTTCTAAATCATTATTTAATTAGCATTTTAAGATTCTTCCCATGAATATTATTCCCTTCAAGTCTTTTCCTTTAAATTAAATAAAAGTCGCTGACAAAGTTTCGTCACTCAAATTTGAAATCAGTCAAACTTGACAAATGGTTTACCTTTAATAAATTAAATTTTCTTTTCATAAATACCACGTGGTATTCTACCTTTGCACGCTAGCTGATTGCCAATTAGGAAAAAATAATCAACCTACTAAAAACTATCATTATATATAAAAAAAAAAGGCAACTAGTGTTTGCAATAAATATGATGTATGATAACATATGATAAAATTGAAACCAACAAAGTTGAATCTTCTCCTACAAAAAATCAACACACATAAAAGCTATATCATAGTGCAAAACTCTTCCACTTCATGATCCCATCTACAGTTTTCACACATGTTTGGATCATTCTCATCATCTTCTTCAGTCATGAAGCACCAACTTCCAATTTTGAGTCTCCATGTATTTGTGCATGGAGCATTATTACATAAATGCTCTCTTATTTGCATCACAAGATCAGAACGCATATTATTCCATCTTAAATAACGAATGAATTCCGCAACATTGCTCCTACACTGGAGGACACACTTCTGGTTCCTTAAAAATCTCAGGTACCCCAAAGCGTCCTCAAATTCTTGGGTCCCTAAAAACCCTATTCTCATTGTGTCGCTGCTGATTAGAACAATCATGGCAAAAGCATACATTGATCTTTTGTGTCCTTTTTGAGCAGCCTTATGTACCATATCTAATCCCTTCTTGTAAAGCTCCAAGTTAGTAAAGTATACTTCCATGCCTTCTCTATAGAGAGATTCTAAGTTACCATTTGATCTGCAATGGCTTAAGAATGAAGCTTCTTGTGGGATTTCTTGGAATCGGAAGAAAGGGACTGTATTCAAAGAAGCATGCTTGTATACATCGTCATCATTTGTTATATTGAGCATCTCTTTGGAAGTCAATCTAAGGTGACAAAGGCCAGAGAGTGATTGAGATGCAACTTTTAAAGTAATGTCCAACAATATTTCCGTTGGCAAACCACAAGTTATGCTCTTATTAGAAGCGTCCTTGTCATAAGTAGTGATTTTAGTTCTTTTAAGTGGTCGTGAATCAGCCATGTTTGTTGGAACTGCAATCTATAGCTGCACCATAAAAAATTTTATGTCAAAAATATGAAAAGAAAAAAGGGAAAAATATAAAAAATAAATAATATATAAATGATTATAATAAGACATAATATTTGAATCTGAATAAATTAGATAGTTTGAGAGGGTGAGAAACAAGAACACACGGAAACATGATCTCTTCTCAGTAACTATTTTATTATCCAATTAAGAGAAGCTGTACATATATCTAGAGATGTGCATTATAAACAAAATATCAAACTGTTTGGAACGACGTAATTCTCAACATATAATATCAAATGCCAAGGACGTGTGATTAGTTCTTTTACAGCGATAGATTAATGTATCTATGAGATGGTATTAGGATTCTAACTAAAAAAAAGCTTTTTCAGAACTCATATATATGAATTGTTCAGTTATCAAAAACCATAAAAAGATCATTTTGATATACCAAGAATCTCAAAATAAATAGCATCCAAAACTGTATGCCTTGCCTGTGCCTTAGAAGCCTCCTTAGTTAAAGGATGCAACGTTGGTTCTGTTCTTTGAGAAACTTGGGGAACACATAAGAAGAAGTGGGGTACTGGGGTCTATTTATACGTATTTGCCAAAGAAAGGGATGAGAGACAATAGATAAGATATGATATCTTAGGAAGGGATAAATTGATGACATAAAAATAAATCTAATAAATAGATATGCATCTTTGTCCTATTAATTGATAACTAAGTAGTTAGTATTAATTACATTAATAAATAACAAACTAAATATAATTTATTTAAAAATAAATAATCGTAAAAATGAAAAATATAAAAATAGGAAATCGGGTACATGGAAAGTACCGGATGGTTTCTTGAGACTTGAGAGCAAAAGAAAAGAACGTTATTGTTGACTTGGACGATGAGGGGGGAAAATTGATTTTTTTTTTTTAAGTGACTTGATAGTCAAGTTTTGATGTGTGTGTGTGTGTATTTAAAAAAGTGATCAATTGATGAAAATTGATAATTAATTAGATAAATTTAATTGATTGAGTTCATGTATATTAGACAAGGAACACAAAATCATACCAGATATTAAACCAGTTGAGATGGTGATTCAAGAGTCAGTAGGTCAGAAAGGAGTCAACTTAGAGTGAAATCTCATATTAAAATAATATAATTAAATTAAAAATAACAAAATGCACAATATTAATAATCACTAATAACAAAATATAAGAAAATATAGGCATACAGCAATCGTTTGATTGTAACAATAACAAAATAAAATAACATTGAGAATTTTGATCTTTACAATTCCTCAATAACTAAAATTAATAATTATTAATACCAAAATCATCATTAAAATTCATTTAAATCTATAGTGATTGAGATCTTAGGAGCTGAATAAGAAAAAATAGAACCAATTGCGACATAATTATCCCAATTGCTTCATCACCAGTTCACACCAGTTTTCATTGGTTTATCTCGACTTAATCAGTTTGATGCCAATTGAATTTCTAACTGGTTCAGCATTTGAACCGAGTTGAACCACTAGCTGATTTACCAGTTTTCTAATTACATCAGCTGGTTCGCTCTAGTTCTTTGTTCCTTGATATTAGATGTCATTTATTTAGAGATTTTTTAAAATTATAGTAATTATTTGATTTTGTTTCTAAATTTGTTCAGGGTTGTTCTAACTTTGGAGTTTTTGGCACACATCTTTAAAAAAATATTCATGACCAATCGCATTCGTTTGTTCACTATAAAAAAGTTTGACTTTCAACAACAACTAAAAGTCCAAAAGTCACTTTGGTGAAATAAAAAGAAAGTTGAAAAGTCGTCGCTAAAAGGTCACTGCTATAACAATTGTCACTGATACTTTTTAGCAGTGACAATGTGAGTCACCACTAAAAGTATAGTTTTAACAACGACTTTTAAGACCCTTCAGTGGCAACAAAAAAGTTGATGTTGAATTGTTGCCCGAGAAAAATAGGAGCACTGCAGGCTGCCGCCACATCACTCGCTACCTAGCCTATTCCACGTGTCGCCACATTGCTATGTCATGTCACCCACAGGATATGATCACCTTAAATATGGCCCTTTTATGATTCAAACTCCTAACCTCCTCTTCTTATGTCCTTTCTTCTTGTCACTGAGCTGAAATGAATATAGTAATAATTATTATAAAATCATATATATATAATTAAAATAAACTTTTACCATTGAAGCTACCCTTTAGCTAGTAGTGCAAAAAAAGTTGCCGTTGATAGTGATATTTGGCGGCAACAAAAAGTTAATCCTGAAGGCTGTTGTATTAAATACTATTATTATTAAATATTCTATTTAATTTCTTATTTTATTAAAATATTTACTTATAATATCCATTTAGTATAAAGAAATATAATTCATGCAATATTATTTGTACTATATTTTTGGGCTAATATAATCTTGATCCCTCAAGTTTGCCCTCATTTTGATTTTAGTCCTTCAAGTTTCAAACCATAGGTTTTAGTTCCTTAAGGGCCAAAATTATCCAAGTTTTTATTGAATTATAGGGAACAATATTTTAAACAAAAAAAAAACTTAAGGGACCAAAATCTATAATTTGAAATTTGAGGAAGCAGCATCAAAATGAGAGCAAACTTGAGGGACCAAAAATTGTATTAACCCTCTATTTTTTCTAATTATTCAAACTATTATTTATATTTATATTTATGAAATATGAAAATAATATATAATAAAAAGTTAATTATAAATTTTATCATGATTATTTAATTCTCTCCCTCTCTCACACACACATAATTATAATATCTCACTCTTATATACACACTCAGCCATTTCTCTTTCCCTCTCTTATACTCACACACACCACATTATCATTCTAACCCTATCTCTCTCTCTAACATAACAACATGTGAAAATATTTTATTTCGTCCTAAGAAATCATATTAATGAACAAAATTATTATCAAGATATGACAGTTTTTTAAAAACTTAAAATAATAATAAAAATTTAAAATAGACTTTTTGCTCTGACAAAAAAAAGTTGCTGCTGAATGTTGTCGCTAAAATTGTGACATTATATTAAATACTATTATTATTATTGTAGAGAATTTTGAATTTTAACAATCGATCAAATGAAATAACTAAAGATATAGAATAACTAAATTTTGCTATAATCATTTCATTTTGTCGTATAAAATAATTAGATTTTAGAGAAAATCGTAAAAAAGACCTTAAAATGAAAAAATTGCAAATAGAGACCTGTATTAATATTAGTTTTGATAATAATTAATAAGTAAATAACAACAATTTTTGTGAACAAATCCTGTATGCAACTTTTCAATTTTCAAAGTTTTATTTTTATGATTTTCCCTAGATATATATTAGTTAATTTTCATTTCGATAATATAATTTTAAAATAGAGTAAAATACACCAATCACCTTTTTATTTTACCTCAAACATAAACCTCCTATATATTTTTAAAACGTATGTAAACCTATCTTAAAATTAAAATGTATGTTACACACACTTTTCTCCTATATTTAAGATTTCATGTCCATCCACCCAAACTATTAGTTAATCGTTAAGTTTGATTTTAAAATTATTTAGATATTTATATTTCCAAAAAATATTTTTTATAAAATTCATTAATTTTGATTCAAATCATAAAATTTTATAATTTAAAATTGTCATCATATTTATTAGAAATTATTTACTTTGATTTCTTTTAAATTGTAAAAACATATTTTAATAGATAGCTTCTGTTTATCGGAAAGTTTAAATGATATATGTTTGAAAGACTTTGTAAATTATTTACATTTATAATTCAAAACTTTTAAACACATTTTGGTTACAAAAATCTACAAGCATATTTAGTCAAGCATATATATATTTATTGAAAAAGTTAGTTAAATTTTTAATCAAGCTTTTTATATTTGCCTTAACAGAATGATGGCGTAATTGGAAAAATATAATTTAGGAATTTATTAGAATGAGGGGTAAAATAATAAATAAATTTTATTTTAATATAAATTTTAGTTAAAAATAATATTTTTAGAATCTTCTTAGAATATTCCTTGTAACAGCCCTATAACAAGTACACAAATACTTAATTCCAAAACAATAATAAGTTCTTTAAAGATCAATAAATAGAAAAGAGTTAGCCAAAAACATTTAGGTAGTAACTGTGATAAGAAGAATAAATCATGTAACTAAGAACTACCATAGTTATATAAAAGACCTCGCTAATCACTTCGAAAAGTCAACCATGGTAGGAAGCACAAAACTAATCAAATAGAAATCTATCATAGTCATTAACAATTTATATCCATAACAATGCAGTAGCCACTATTCCATAATAGCAAAGATTATTAATGTAACAAGAAATAATCAACGCTTAATTTTTCACGTGTGTATCAAATCCATCATGAATCTCTATGATCCCAAAAATATAACTAAAGTCAATCATGAATGGGCTAGAGCATTTGAAGTCCACCAAAATAACTACCACTATTGCCCATATCAATTGCAACCAAAATAACATTCACATATATCCAAAAAGGCTCCGCCTAATAGTATAAGTCTAGAATGCAACAGAAAAATTAAACATATGTTAAGTTTAACAAAAAGGCTCTAAAGTTTAGCAATATACATTAATCAAATTATGTATAACATAATAGAGGCTATACAGCGTGGAAAGAAAAACTCAAGCCTCGGACAATTTCCTCTTGGGACCAGCATCTGAACCCTGACCTGAAAAAAATATTAAATAATGACGGGGTGAGTCAAATTGACTCAGTAACCACGATTCCAATTCAACGAGTATACATGGAGTGATTACAAGATAGTTAAGCGAGCAGAATACAATTTCAAATAATATATAGGGTAAACATCTTTACAGAAAATAATATATAATAATTAAAAAAGTAACTTGCATACATAGAACTTCATCAACCATCCTTATAACCTCTTTGTAACATCTGACAGAACCCATGAGCTATTCACACATAACAAGA